AATTCCTTCTTTCTGAAATTTCATATTGCCTGTATTACTTTTGTCGCTTCGGGGCAATTCTGTTTAATTTAGTTCGGAAGAAGAATTTATCGACGGGATCGGAAAGCAAAGTTACATCTTCGAGTTTCCTCTTTTCATACAGAAACTCCACAGCATCTTCTTTCCTATAAAAAGTTTAGATTTATTAATAGTTACCGAATCGGACACTAATTGGACGAGAAAGCGCAGCTGCTGATAAAAGGTAACATTCTATGTAACAGCTCGCCTCGTCCCTAACTTCTTTAAGCTTCAGACGTGACGTTCGTTCAGCTCTCCATGGAACAATTAGTCAAATTAAGCCGATCTATAAATAAAATGGTTCAAGTGCCAATTATAATTCGCATCCAGTTATATCGCGCAACAAATCTACACACAATAGGTACGCGCCATCTATTTGACGCAACGATCTAGCAATCATCGGTTGGAATGGTGTTCGAATTGAAGCCTATTGACTGAATCCAATCGTATAATCCCAACATCAGCGCAGCCATTCGAGCTTTCCAAATATGACTCAGCACCGGAGCTAGCCAAAATTACACACTGAGCACCAATAACCATCGATAGAACACCTTGGCTCCAGCTAACTTAGGATATACCAATTGAAACCTGCTTGTAACGGCCGATCTACCAATTTCCCTTACCCTCGGCCCAATCTATGAGCTCTTCGAACACGTCCGAGACATCGCCAAACAGTCAGCCCTTGCTCTTCGAGGCGGCTACAGGGTGAAAAACGAATTGAAGGCGGAGAAACGTCGGAGGATCGAGGATCTTCTCGCGACTCGGGACATTTTTATTCAGCAGAAAAGATTGCAGCGCATCCGGCGGAGGCACCGCGGCCAAAGAGATACATAGAACTAGCACGAGTGGAATTGAGCGGCGGATAATTGTTTCGAACAATCCCGGGCGACGCTTTTCGTCGGTTTCCATGGCGACTTGCGCCAGGCGAACGTTCGCTACGTCGGTTGGCAATCGAAGCACACCAACAGTGGGGAGTTTACCCCTCTCTCTAGGGGAATTCTGGTGGGGGCAGAGAACGACGGAGGCGTAGGCGGGGCAAAAGTTGGACGAAGAAGTCGCGTTCGCTGGAAACGCCTCTTCCGCCCGCGTGCCGTTGGTTT